GTAATAGATTGGTGATATAAGCTTTAGTTCCTCGAGCGATCATAATATAATTATTTATTTCAGATAGTATTAATTCAAACTAACGTATATGAATAAAGCCCATATGAAAAATGGCTTTATTAGACTGAAAAAGAATTTGATACTGATGTTAACACAGCATTCCTTGATTAATAATATACATACATATACAAAGTAATGTCATATCCTTAAGGATCACTATATAATGCAATTTTAATTTAGAAGATACCACAATATAATTGACCTTCCATATTTCTTGAATTTCTTTGTAATCAATACTTAACAAAAGTTCTTGTAACTTAATTTGTGATCTATCATATATATGTTCTACTATACTATTAGGTTTTTCATCAAATTTGTTAACTTATTTAATAAAAATTAAAGTTCCTTGATATAATAATGCTTGTTCATTGGCCTCTCTAAAGTGATAATGAGATAGGTGTTAAAAAATCTTTTAAAACAGAATCAAAGTCTTTGAAAATAGTATTATAAGTTGATGAAAGACCAGTTAATGGGTTTAATCCATAATAATCTCTGATTTGACTATATTACGCTTCTTTATTTAACTCATTTTCTATTATTTCTACTAATTTTCTTAATAGAGTTCCTCGATCTATATGTTTTTTAAGAACTCTATTTAGAGATTCAACACGTTGAGTTGATTCTACTCCTGCTGTAAAAATCTTCATAATAGAATATCTCGCTCATGATTCACGATAAGAGTAAAGTTTTTTTTCAAGGTAAGACTGACATTGCTCATAATTTGTAAGTATTTTATTGTATCTTGCTTCAAACTGACGTTGATTATAACTATTTCGCATATGGTAAAAATTCTCAATAAAATTCTTGACCATTTCATCATAAAATTTGAATTTAGCTTTCTTTTTCACATTCTTGACAATATGGTATATGTATAATAAATGGCGAGTTTCTGAATAAACAACTTGAATAGCTGCTATTATTTCTAGATCACTATCAGTAAATAATATGATTGGTGGAAGGTTATCAGTTGCTTGTAGTGTATATCGTAAAATCCTACTATAAACTGCCTGTATTTTATACTTTATTAAGGCTTGAGTGAGGACTCTTATCTTATAATTATTATTAATACCAACAAATAAGCTAATCACTATTTCATAATGATTTGTCTTTGCTGTGTTATCATGTATGATAACATCACAAAATTTAGGCTAAAGTTCATTATGCTGTTGACTGATCATCCAGAAAAGTCTGGTAAGTTCATTGGATAATCTTTCTAAATGCAGTATAATAATATAATCAGAATCTTGATCATATAGCTTCATAAGATATGAGAATATCATAGTTGCATTAGATTCATCATAAACCTGAATATCCCAAAACTTTTGAATAGCATTATATTGATTCTTATTTTAATAAAGTATTCAGAAAACTCTCTGATAATCAAGTCATATTGTTGTCTAGCACCCAAATGACCATTAGTGGTATAATGTTCAATCTTATCCAAAATTATTTTAGAAAGATGTGAATTTTTAGGAGCGAAATCTATTATTACTGGATCATATCGATGATTATAGTTATTATCACATTTGGTAAGACATATAATATTAGTATTTTTACTAAAATAAAGTCTACTTGTTATGGATAGTTTGTTTTAGTCAAAACACTATCACGATGTAAATTAATATCTTCTACCTTTCTTAGATTATTAGTTCTAACTTTCCAATAGCTATATACATGATGGCGAATAATAGTTTTATCTATAGCATCAAAATCCTTACAATATTTTATAATAACAAATCCTTTTTGCTTCACGTATATATTAACAGCAATATCGACTTCATTCTAATCTTCATAAGTATCATTGACATTTAAGATCATTTATGTTGTATTAATACTATCAATCTCATTTGTATTATTTTCTTCATTATTAGATAACCTATTAATTTTACTTGTTATATATAAAAGTACTCTGACTTGCATTTTTTTTATTTATAGGTTAAAATAATAGTTAATTACAATGATTTGATATTGAGAAGATTTTTAATATTGAAATAAAGTTAGAAATATTTTGAGAAATAAGGAAAATTTGAGAAACAAGGAAAGTATTCGTTCAATAAATCCTTCAAATTGATTTAAACTGCAATATAGTCTAATATTAATTTCTTTAACAAAAGGAAATAATTATGATAGATAGAAGAAAAAAAGCAATCATGAGTAAAAAATTGAATGTTTGACTTGTTTTGGCGTATAAATGATTAAATCAGTAATAGTGAAGAATCACAATACAAAACATTATGTCAATCAAGAAATCAAGAAATATTATATCACGTAATGTGACGTAAAGATAGTTAAAATAATTACATCATGTGATATGACGTAAATTGGTCAAAATAAGATATATCACATAATGCAATGCAAATACAAATAAACAAATAAATAAAATGTAATCATGTGATGCTAGTGATAATTACTGCCAGTGATACGAAGTAATTTTCTAAATATTATATATAATTAAATGCTATATATATATATAAATATATATATAATTATTAAATTTTTTTATTATTTTATTATTTTATTTTATTTTTTAATTTTAATTTTAATTAAATTTTTTTTCTCTTTAGTTATAAATTTTTATTTTAATTATTTTAATTTATTTTTTTAAAAAAATTTTATATTATGATTTTAATTTTAAATATTTTTTTATTTTTTTTGCAATTATTTATATATATATATTTTTTAATTTTTTAAATTTAAGATAATTTTTATTTTTTAAATTTGATAATCTTTTTTTTTATTATTTATATATATTTTTTTTTATTTTTTAATGTTATAATTCTTTCTGTTATTTTTTTTATAAATAAATCTAATTGTAATATTCTATTACATGTTTTATTTATAATACCCAAAATTTTATTCAATCAAAATTTAAGATCAGCTAAAATATTAATAATTTAACAAAGATTAATTGTGTAATAAAAATAAGAATTTTTTTAAAAAATTTTAAAAAACTGTTTGTAATTGAAAATTTTGTCTATGAAACTATCTTTAAAATATTAAGTAAAAGTTTTCTAAATTAAATTTTATATTTAAAAATCTTATTTATAAAATATTTAATAGAATAATATATTATTAAGAAAATTAAAAAAAGGTGTTACAAATAAGACATTATAAGTGTCAGAATCTGTAATTTACAAATGTGTGACATTTTATGAGTTTGATAGTTTTAACAAGAACTGTATCTTTCTGAACTATTTCTACTACTTATATTCAAAAGGATTTGTTTTGCAAGTTAATTTTTATTTGTTCAAGAATCTTATCTTCATTTATTTTAAGTTATTCTAATTTGTCAGATTATTCAATTTTAATAATCCTTTATTTTTTATAATTCTATTTCTATTATTTCAGTATTATCCTCTTTATAAATTCTTTATTATTTAATTAACTTTCAAAGTTTCATCATGTTATCATTATATCTTTTAAATCTTTAAAGACAGTATTAAATATATTCTCTTTTAATCTTAATAATTCTTTATTTTCTGTTAATTCTTTATTATTAGATCCTCTATTCGATTATTTTATTATTATTAGTAAAATCTAAATCTTCAGTAATCTTTTCTTCTTTATTTCTATAATTCAGTATCATCAGTATAGTTTTATCTTTCTTAATATTATTCTTAATTTCATTTATTCTTTATATTTCTTTTCTTAGTATTCTTAACATTCTCAATTTATTATTATATTCTTTTATTAAATTTTATTATTCTCAAGTTTTCTGTTCGATTATTTTTTTATAATCTGTAAAATTTATAATTTATTAATTTTCTTTTATTTTCTTAATTCGCTTAAGTTTCTTTATTTTTAATTTATCAATAAGTTTCTATTTTCATGTTACAACAAATTAGTTTCTAACATTAACTTTAACATATTAAAGAGATTTTCAATACTACAATTATAGTATAAGTTTATTATTAAAAGACGTTTTCTATTTATTTTATAATTTTCTAAATCTTATTATTTATAATTTAATAAATTTACTAAGAATTAGGATGAACCTATTATTCTTTTCCAAATATTAAATTATGCATAATTGCTTTTATTAATTCATTATTAAGGTATTAGGGATTATGATTTGCATTTTACATAGATTTTTTTTAAAATGTGATAGTTTTACAATATCTTAATTATGATAAAATAAAATAAAAATAAAAAATAAAAAAATCACAAAAATCTCATCAAAATTAATTTAGAATTAATAAAAAAATGACTGACCCTATACTCTTTAAAATTAAACTTAACCTAAAATAAGACTATCACTTTTTGATACTGCATTTATATGAATTTTTTTTAAGGTGCGGTAGATTCACAAAAATTTTTATTGAAGGATAGTAAATTATACAAAATAAAATATAAAGTATAAAGTAGATCATATAAGATTACATTTCAAAGTAATTATAAAATCTCAGACTAACTAATCTATGACTAATTAGATAAGACCTATAAAGCACCCCCTAAAATCAATCTTAACCTAAGTAAAGAATATCATTTTTCAGAATTAACAAATAAAATAAAACAAAATAACAGATAAAAACAAATTTTATGCTATATTTAAAAGAAATTATTTATGCCTAAAATGGTTCTATAAAAGAGAAAGTGATGGTTATTTAATTAACTATTTAACTAGAATAGAGAATATGAAAAGATCAAAGATCTTATCATTTTTGCGAAAGTAGTGATTACAGGATAACTGTAATGGTATTGGTAATGAATTCTTCTGACTAACCAGTGAACATGATTGTAAAAGACTAGAAAAATCTTGAGGAAGATGATTTAATTGATTAAATAAATTGTGTTCAGTTAAATCATATTTGCCATCTGAATTTGAAGGAAAAACAGTATCTATTGTTTCAGCGATATAAGAAAAATCTTTATCAACGTATATTTTAAAATATTTAAAAATTTCTTATATAAGATGCCACATTTTATATAGTGTACAAAAAATGAGAGTTCTATCTTTTATGATAAGAGGAGGATCTGAAACAGATATTTTAATTGGTAGTAAAAGTTCAAATTCTAAATCGTCATCAGAATCTAAAAGAGAATTTTCATTATTAACCAAATTGTTAGTTTTAACTCTATGATATCCTAAGTTAGGCTATTCTTTAATTTGAGTACAGGATCTTCTAAAGTGATGTGAACTTGAACAAATTGAGCAAAATTTTTGATTAAGTAAAGAATGAATAGTTTTTGATTGTTGGGAATAATATTCTGTTTCATAAAATAATTAAGGTCATCATGTGATCTAAAGCATACAAATGCGTGATTTACTTTTGATTTCTTAAATATACTAATAGGGATATGCCAATATTTTACCTTAAAAGACTAGAGTATAGATTCAATATCTTGATCAGTTATGCCAATTAGAAGGTTTAAAATTTTTGTAATGAAAAAGTAACATTTGATCAGTTCTTCATTAGGAATAATACAAGGTATTATTTGGGTATGTAATTATCAAGAAAGTAAAAATCCCACATGGAGTCTAGTTCTGAGAGCTGTTTTTATTTACCAGATAAGTAAATAAATGTATTGTAATAAAAAGGTTTTTGTTTAATTATTATTCATTAGATATCACTATATCTTAATACTATTGTTCTGATTATATATTCTGAAGTTCTTGATGAAACATTAATAAAATGATAAGCCCTTTGTATTATTTGTAATGGAATAACTAATTTGAGTATATGTGATATAAGGCTGTATTATTGTGAATTTTTCAATTTAGTATCATCTGACAGAGACTGTATTGTTATAAATTTTCTGATTTAGTATTGATTGACAAGAAGCTTTATTGTTGTGAATTACTAAATTGAGCAAAATCTAAAAGGCTAATAATCTGTGATATGGGTGAGGTGAAACTAATGTTCTGAATGGTTCAGTTCGATCTGAATTATAGGCCAATCTGAAACTGAACTGAATCGTAAACTGGTAAAAATCTGAACTAAACCAAAAATTTTGGATTAATCCAAAATTTCAGATCATTTGGAACGATAACTTCAATCATTCTAAATGAACGATTTTTTATCATTCTAAATGAATGATAATTTGATTGTTCCAATTGAATGATTTTCTTATCGTTTGTTTAGAATGATAATTTTATCGTTCTAATCGAATGATTCTATTATCATTCATTTGGAATGATATTTTAATTGTTCCAATCAAACGATTTTCTTATCGTACATTTGGAATGATAATTTCATCGTTCTAATCAAATAATTCTATTGTCATTCGTTTGGAATGATATTTTAATTGTTCCAATTGAACGATTCTTTTATTGTTCATTTGGAACGATAATTTTATCATTCCAATTGAACGATTCTATTATCATTCATTTGGAATGATATTTTGATTGTTTCAATTGAACGATTCTTTTATCGTTTGTTTAGAATGATAATTTCATCATTCCAATTGAACGATTCTATTATCATTCATTTACAATGATATTTTGGTCATTTCAATCGAACGATTCTTTTATCGTTCATATAGAATGATATTTTGATCGTTTTAATCGAATGATTTTTTTATCGTTCGTTTAAAACGATAATTTGATTATTCTAATTGAATGATTTTCTTATTGTTTTATTGAAATGATAATTTCATCATTCCAATTGAAAGATTCTTTTATCGTTCATTTGGAATGATATTTTGATCATTTTAATTGAATGATCCTTTATCGTTCATTTGGAATAATATTTTGATCATTCTAATTGAATGATTTTCTTATCATTCAATTGGAATGATAATTTCATCAATTTCATCGTTTTAATCAAACAATTCTTTTATCATTCATTTAGAACGATATTTTGATCATTTCAATCGAATGATTTTTTTATCGTTCATTTGAAATGATAATTTGATTGTTCCAATTGAACAATTTTCTTATTGTTTGATTGGAATGATAATTTCATCATTCCAATTGAACGATTCTTTTATCGTTCATTTGGTACGATATTTTGATCATTTTAATTGAACGATTCTTTATCGTTCATTTGGAATGATAATTTGATTGTTCTAATTGAACAATTTTCTTATCGTTTGATTGGAATGATAATTTCATCATTTCAATCGAACGATTCTTTTATCGTTTAATTGGAATGATAATTTGATTGTTCTAATCGAACGATTTTCTTATCGTTCGATTGGAATAATAATTTCATCATTCCAATCAAATGATTCTTTTATCATTCATTTGGAACAATATTTTGATCATTTCAATCGAACGATTCTTTTATCGTTCATTTAAAATGATTATTTGATTGTTCCAATTGAACGATTTCTTATTATTTGATTGGAATGATAATTTCATTATTCCAATCGAACGATTCTTTTATCGTTTGATTGGAATGATAATTTTATCATTCCAATTGAATGATTCTTTTATCGTTCATTTGGAACGATATTTTGATCATTCCAATTGAACGATTCTATTATTGTTCGCTTAAAATAATAATTTGATCATTCCAATTAAACGATTTTCTTATCATTTAATTAGAATGATAATTTCATTGTTCCAATTGAACGATTCTTTTATCGTTTGATTGGAATGATAATTTTATCATTCCAATTGAACAATTCTTTTATTGTTCATTTAGAACGATATTTTGATCATTCCAATTGAACGATTCTATTATTATTCGCTTAGAATGATAATTTGATCATTCTAATCAAATGATTTTCTTATCATTTGATTGGAGCGATAATTTCATCATTCCAATTGAACGATTCTTTTATCGTTCATTTGGAATGATAATTTCATCATTCTAATCGAACGATTTTTTTATCGTTTATTTGAAATGATAATTTGATCATTCCAATCGAACGATTTTCTTATCGTTCAATTGAAATAATAATTTTATCTTTCTAATTGAATGATTCTTTTATCATTCATTTGGAATGATAATTTTATCATTTCAAATAATCCGAAATTTCAGATTAATCTGAAATTTTTGGTTCAGTTCAGATTTTTTCAATTCAGATTAGATTTATAATCTGAAAAAAATCCAAACTGAACTGAAAATTTTCAGATTGAATTTTTTGTAATCTGAAATCGAAACGGAAGTTAATCTGAACTGATAATTTTTAGATTAATCTAAACCGTTCAGAGCTTTAGGTGAAACAGGATTTTGTTTACCATAATTTTCTTTTTGATCATTATTCAAAAAAAGATATAAATGAAAAAGAAGACAAAACTGAGAAGAAGGAAGAAACAGAAGCAGTATTTGTTAAAATATTATTTATCCTTTGAGATTTGAGGGAAGAACTAGATCTTTATTCATTTTAATATTAAAGGAAAATGATTGTGATGTAAGTGAAGGAGAAGAAAACTGTGTTTTTAAAGTTAAGTCATTTTGTATACATTCTATTTTATTTTGTATATTAGTTTATTTAGCTAAATTATGTATAGATTCTTCAAAATCTATATTCTCATTATAATTGTTCGTAAGAAAAGTAGAAGGAGAGGCAGTGTCAGAAAATTCTTGAAAACTGATGGTAACGCTATTGTTATTTATTGAGGAAGAACCATCAGGTTGTTCATATAAGAAGTTCTTTTTAATAAATTTTTTCATTTATTGATCCTTATTTTTTTGTTTTCTTTTTGCACTATTTTTGTTATTTTTGTCTATAGTGAAAATAAAAAAATGAGAAAGAGATTTTTTTTATACTGTATTTACATAAAGAAATTCTATTCTATTTATATAAAATTAATGTAGATCACTTCTGTAATTCTTGATTTCCTATTTTACAAATCCTAAGATTTTTTAATTATTTCTATGTTTTTTGCAATTTCTTACTTTTCCATCTAGTATTTCTGTAATTTTCTTTCTTTTTTGTAATTTCTGTTATTTTTATAATATCATTCATAATATTATATTTTCTTTTTAAGATTTCATTTATTTTTTTTATTTGGAAGTTGTTTAACATTCAGTAATTGATTTATTCTTTTTCTTTCAGTAAATAGTTTATCCTTTTTTTCAGTAAGTAATTTATCTATCAGCTAATAGTTTATCTGTATTCCATATTTTAGTTGTTAGTTAAATATTTATTCATTAATATTTTATTAATCAAACATCTTTTAATTATTTATTGGAATGTCATATGATATCAATTCTATGAATTCTTGACTTTACAACATATAATAAAATATTACTAATACATTTTTTCTTTATTTAAATTTTTATTTTTTCATTTATATTTTTTTGTTATTTATTTTAATATTTTTAAAAATTTAATATGATTTTTTTTAATTTCATTTTTTATATTTTTTTGTTATTTTTTGTTATTTTTTTAATTTTTTATTTATATATATTTTTTAAATTTCACTTTGTTTATATTTTAATTTATAATTATTTTTATTTTAATATTTTAAATTCAGTATGATTTTAATTTTTATTTTTATTTTAAATTTTATTTTATTTGTTTTTATTTTATTTTTTAAATTTTACAAATATTTTTTTTTTTTATTTTTATAATATTATTTATTTTTTTAATTTTTTTAATTTTGATAGTTTAAATTAATAACTCAATTAGTAAGAAAGTATATAATATTTTATATATGGGTAGATATTTGTAATTATTTTAATAAATAAAGAAAATAATAATATAGAAACATTAAATTAAAAAATCTAATTATAAAATGTAGTTATTATAATAATTATAATAAACAAAAAACCAATATTTTAATAATTTGAATTATAGTACTAAATGGGTGAACATTATTTATAGAATGAATTTTATAGAATTTTGTAGTTTTTACACTAACTAAAAAAGCATATTTATTTTAAATTAAAGATTTATTAGAAGTATTATATACTAAAGATTTAATTGCAAAAGTGATTCTTAAAATTTTAATAAGATTAGTATTAATAAATTTTATACAGTAGTAATTAATAATAAGCTTAATATTTTATAATATTTTATTAGCATAATAATTAATTTTAACATAATTTTCTAAAATCTTTAATATTTAATATATTGTAAATAATATGAATCTTATTTTACATAATATTTTACAATAATATTTTATAGTAAAAATTATAAAATATTGTAATATTTTAATCAGTTATTTTAAAAAATCACATCAATGTAATGATTAACTTAAAAACAATTTTAAAAAATAAAATTTTAGAAGGAAGAAAAATATTTATTAAGACTATAAATTATTATTATTAAATATATAACATCAATTTTATAACTTAAAACTTATTTTATTAAAGTAAATAAATATTTATATAATATTAAAGTTTAAATCATTTTTTAATTATTAAATTTATGAAAAACATCATGATAAAATAACAAGCAAAACTATAAAATTCAATTAATAAAAAGAGAAGTTTTTTTAATAATATATCTGTTTGAAAATAATAGGATATTTATTTGCAAATAAATAAAAATTAATTATTCTAAAAATTCAATTTTTATCAAATCTTTTTTTTTTATATTTTTTATTTTATCTTTTTAAAAATATATAAATATATCATTCAGCTAAATAAGACTATAATTTTTATGATTTAGATTACTTTTTTAATATTTTTGTATATTACTAATTTTATAATTATAGTGATTAAATTTTAATTTCTTTTGGTTATCAGATAGCAAATAAAATTTTGTCATTTTAAAATTTTTGATAAATTTTAAGGAATTTTACTACCTTTTGAATATAAATAAAATAATTTTAACTTCAGATAATTATTGTTAAATCACATTTTTAAGCATATCAAATAAGTCGTTTATCTGATATTGTAATATAAATATATTATAATTATAAATGAAGAATAATTTAATTTTTTTATTTAATACTTTTTATTTAAAAAAGTAATGTCTTTTCTATATATATGGGAAGTAAGCTATTAAAATCATCTTATAGGATCCTATTAACTAAAATTTAGATTTTGATTCATCATATTATATGATATACTTTTATAAAGAAAGTATCAGGCATGACTTTTTGCGAATTGTAACTTAATTATATTATATTTTTAAATAAATTTTTATATAATTATAAATTGCATATTCCTGTAAATCTATTGACTATATTTTATTATTGTTTTGTATTAATTTATATAACGCGTTCATAAAAAAAATGAATTTGATTCTTTAACAATATTGCTTTGCCGATCATTTTTACTGTTCTTATTATAATTAAATTAAAAATTTTTTTACATGACAAAAAGCAAAGAATTAACTGAATCTAAATATAGTCAAATTATTAATCTTTATAAAGGTGGTCATAGTTAAAGAAATATTAGTAGTATTACAAATATTCCTAAATCAACAGTTGTTGATACTATTTTTCGTTACAATAATAAAGAAACTACAAAAAGTACATCTCATCTAGGATAATCACGAAAAATAAACAATGAAAATAAATATATTTTAAAAGGAATAACTAAAGAAAACAATCGTAATAATGTTAGATAACTTCAAAAAAATTTGAAGAAATTACTAATGTTTAAGTATCAACTAGAACGTTAGTTAAAGAATTATATCAAATTGGACTTTCTTCTTATATTAAGCAAAAAAACCTTTTATAACTGAGGTATAATGTATTAACTAATTAAATTAGTGCTTGAAAAGAAGACATTGGAGTATTTCTAAATAGGAAAAAATAATTTGGAATGATGAGTCTCATTTTAAAATCTTTAAAAGTGATGGCCCTTGTCATATTTGACATGCTTCTGACGAACATTTTAATATTAAGAATTTGTCACCTACAGTAAAACATGGAGGTGATGGAGTAATGATATGGGGTTGCTTTTTAAATAAAGGTTTAGGGCAATTAGTTAAAGTTGAAAGAATATTAAATAGATTTGGATATATTGAAATATTAGAAAAAAATTTATTACCTTAGATAAAATCAAATTTTCGTGGCAAAAATTATTTTTTTCCAAGATGACAATACTCCCATCCATATAGCTAAGGACATAAAAGCATGGGTTCATAAAAAAAAGACTTAAAATATTGTCCAATTGGCCATCCCAATCTTCAGATTTGAACCCAATTGAACACTTATAGGACGAGCTTGATAGACAAGTTAGAAAATGGTCATATCGTCCTAAAAATGCATTAGAATTGAAAATTGCTTTACAAGAAGAATGGGCGAAAATTCCTAATACATTTTATAAAAAATTAATAAAAAGTATGCTGAATAGAATAGAAGAGTATATGTATGTATTAGTAGGAATAGGTAGCCCACAAGTTATTAAATATGAAAATATTTTAATAAAAATAAATTTTTTTTTGAGTGTTCGGATATTTTCTTCAGGAAAGTGTATATGAACTTTATTTGGTTAAATTTTTATAGTGATTATTTTATTAATAAAGCAAGCAATTAGGCTATCACAATCTCTATTTTTGTGTAACACCAGTCAAAAAATCTAAAATTAGGATTAGGAAATGATTGATATTAATTTAAAAAAGTTAAAAAAGTTTCAGACCCTTATAAAATTCAAAAATTTTAACTTTACTATTATTAATAGTTTGAATGCACAATTGAAGGGGGAGTTTGGGGTATTTAATACTTTAGCAAATATTTTTTTTAAAAATACAATAATTTTTTTTTAATTTCTTTAAAAAATTGATAAATTAGTAATATCCCATAAAGTGATTTAATAGCAAAATCTCAAGTGTTACGAAATTGAATTCAAGTGTTACAAAATTAGTCTTGTAAAATAATTTAAATAATAAATTTTAGTATCGTCTTATTAATTAATTTGACTTAATATTTAAAAATAGAACAATTTATTATTGATTGGAAATGTTTACTGTGGCATAGCATTTTTTTAATCATTATTTACTCAAAATTAATTTCTTATCCCGTAAGGTGAATTTAATAGCTTTAGCCCCGTATATTGATATATATATAAATTATTCGTCTGAATTACTTTCCTTTATTTGTTATGAAAGGAATATTATCTCAGATAACAAACCTTTAAGGTTTAAAGCTTCATTCAAATTTGATTAATAAGAACTACTCATGATTCGTTAAATAAAATCGATTCTAACTCATTGCTCTTTTTAAGTAATAATTCAATAATACCAAAGGTGCTTCTTTAACTTCATATTAATTTAAGATTTATATTTTATATTCGGCTGCAACTGGTAATTTATAATGACTATTATTGCTTTCAGAAACAATTGTGCCAGGAATACTAAGATGTCGATCATCCTGGAGTTCCCTCCTAGTTCGTTGCCATCTATAAATAAAAATTCCACAGATAGAAATGATACCAGTACCTATAATTGCACAAATTGTCGCAATTACAATTTTTATAGTATTTTCTGTATTTTTGTTCTTCGGTTTAATTGGAATCTTGTCAGTCGTCTTTTGAACATCAAATGTATTTACCCATGTAAAATTTCTTATATCCATTAAATAGATTTCAGAATTTTTTTGCGCCGATGGTTCAGAATTTGGTTGTGTAATATTTCCTGTCATAAAAATATATAATTAAAGCTTGAAGCATATTCTATAAAGTAATGTAAAAATTTTACTCACCAAAAGCTACAATCATGTAATTTCCAACGACATTAGCTGTATGAGCTACAAGTGATGGAATCGTACCGATATTAGAAGTTACCTGTGGCTCACTCCATTCGAATGGTTCTTTTCTTGTATCTAAAATAGCAATATCTGGAACAACTCGGAAATCGCTAAATAAATTAGTACCTCCATAAATAATAATTTTACCGTCTGGAGCTTTTTTTTTTAATTAAATAAACAATAAGAAATAAATTAATAATATATAATATCTTAAATAGTAAAGGTTAAATTATACATACCTAATACCGCTGTATGAGTAGAACGATTTTCAATCGGACTTGAAAGATTTGCCATCTATTTAATCATTAACATTTAAAATTAAAAATAACGAAGAATTTTTTTTATCGTTTAAATCAACATTCATATCATACGTACTTTTAATGACCAGGTTAAAGAATTTGTATCATAAAGATTAATTTGTTTAATATCTACATCAATGGGGTCTCCGTTTTCCTTAATTTCATAACCTCCAATATATACAATAAAACCATTCGGTAATAATGTTGCGGTATATGAAGCTCGTTGTCTAGGTGCGTCAACTGGAGAAAAAATTGTCCAAGACAGACCGACAGTATCAAAAATGATCATATCATTAAAAAATTTAATTGTCGAGGAACCCAATAATTTATTTGTACTTCCACCAAAAATATATAGCTTTCCGTTATTACTAACTGCCTTCATCTCTCTTCGTCTTTCAGGCGAAAGTCCGCCAACAGGAGGTACACTCCATGTTGAAGAATTTACATTAAAACGATGTATAATTGAAGTAAATGAATCATTAAGTTCATCATCTACCATAAAGCCTCCAAATAAATAAATATTTGAATCATTATTTATACCATTTAGTGCAACAGTTGCCCATGCGCTTCCAAATGGGATGCTAGTAAGTTGAACCCATGGTGTATTTGATTTATCAAATGGTTGAGATAAATCAAGATAAAAAAATTCTTTTGCAATCTGAGAAGTTTCTAAATTAGTACTACCTAATCCGCCAAGAAAATAAAGCTTATCCCCAATAATGACAGAGGAATGTGACATACGTCCTTTAGGAGTAAATGAAAAGACTCGTAAGATTATAGAACAAAGTACGAAAATTATAAATATGAAACGCATAATTCACTAAAGGTAAATATTAAAAAAAGGTAAAGTAGAAATAAAAAGGAAAAGTCAATTCTAATGATGATCTAACCCTCTTTATCACGATCATCAAATCATTGTTTTTACATATTTGATAAGGATGCACAAACATTCATGCAAGAAACGGCAAAATTGTGATACATTTTGTGGCACCACATTTGTTTTATCAATAATTACACAGTTAAAATTAGTTTCATGAATAAAATGACTTGCATGAGTTATACGAACAAATTTGTATTGCACCTCAACTGTCAATCAATTGTATTTTTCTGAGCGTGTATAAAAAGAATATTATCTTATGAATAAAAAATTTCGGTACAGTATAAGCATTAATTCTCATCCCTCTGTGTTTGACGGCTATATTATTTGCCGATGTTATCGCGGGCGCCGAATTGAATACATAATAAAAATAATGTTAAATACTATATCTATCCTTTTAAGAATTACATTACATTCAATGCATTCTTAATAATTTATGTATTAATTATGAAACAGAAACTGATTATAAGAGTAATTTTAATAAAAAATATATTTATATATAAATGTATCGAATAATTGAGGGCATCAAAAGGAAAAGGTCATGTTTTGATTCAGCTTTTAACGGTATCTGTTATATATTATAGTTTCGATTTATTAAAAGTTTCGACTATTATAGTTTCATCGTACCTAATTATTTCACACCGCAATTTTAACGTTAAAAAAAAGGAAGATCAAATCTTTATTGCGAGATGTACAAACAGCGCAGCACATTAACGTTAACTGAAATTTCAGTTAATAATTTTATGTAAAATGTTAATATATTACACCATTTTAAATAGAATTAAAAATTTCTCCTTGTTAAACTATGTATAATTTTTTTTTTTTTTTTAATTTATTAGATTGTTAACAAATGAATTATAAATTTTGTTTGATATTGCTAATGGAAATGTAAGCAAAGATTTTAATGATTTTCTAACTTTCGAGAATATATAATGATTATAACGAGATTTCATTTAAAATGTATACGAGAATTAAACATATAAACAACAAAATTCTTAAAAACGTTAAAGTTAATAGATTAAATAAATCAAACTAAATAAATTAATAAACTATTATTTTATTAAACGATATTATTCAAAATATTACCGCATAAGCATATTTGTTGGATTATTTTTTTTACTGCATTTGGTAAATGGGCGACAGTCAATAGAAAAGGGGGAAATCTAAATTTTTGTCAAATTTTTTTATCGGTCACTTGACCGATCATAGTTATGTGCACAAATTAACTTAGGAACCAAAAACTGATAAAAATTTCAGATTTCCCCCTTTTTTTACTGACGTCCTCTCAAATATTTGATTTTCAAAAGCAAAATCATGATTTTATATTATTTTGTTTGAATCATAGAAAACAAGTATGGTATGGTGACCGATGTATGTATGTATGGTGACAAATGTGTGGTGTATTCTTAAGAATGTATGGTTTACGGTATTTTATTCATATATATAACAAAAAGGTGTTTTATAAACATACATGTATAGGAAAAACCGTCAAAACTACCATACATTTGTCATCATACCATACTTGTTTTCGTTAGTCCCGATTGTTTGCCATCTATAAAATACCAACACTCATCATTGTACATACAAATTGTTATAATGACAAATTACATAAATTTTATATAATAATAAAGCATTTCTGTGTTATGACTATTCCACACATACTGCGACAATAAAATTGGTTCGATATTTCGATTTTTGATTAATTTGATTCGATTCCAATCTCTAGTCATGAAGGAAATAAACTTTATTAAGTTGATGGTATTGCTTTAAATATTTTAAAATGAAGCTCTTTTTTTATGTATAACAATTTAACGCATAAATTTCGTCATGGACTGACCTTAAAGCATCTTCAGGAATTGGTTTTAAAGTAGCATTGCAACTATTTTATTAAGTGAAGATGTGAAAATTCAACAATTTACCGAGGTTTCGGATTTAAAACGAGATGCAAATTTTTCCAATAAAAAACCGGTGTAGTTGTAAATCGTGCTGCGTCTCAGAGACCGGTGTTAAGCCTAAACACTACGTCGTTAGGATAACAAAGCTTATTTGCTAACAGGGAGTTTAAGTTGTAAACTATG